ATGTGGGTTTTTTGGGGGCCCCGTTTTTTTTTTTTTTTTTTGGCTTTTTTTTTTTTTTTTTTTTTTTTTTTTTTACATTATTCTTGTATTTCTTTTTCCCGATAGCTTAGCATGTTAGCTAGAAACAGATAGGAAACAGTTTCATGGAGAACAGGCTGTTTCTGACGTTTAAGGAGAGAAAAGTTTCTGTTGTGATTTTGTGAAAACCTCAGACGGTCTCGACGTTGGGAAGAAGATAACTAGCAAAGATGGAGGAACCAGCACACGGTGAGTAGAGGGACTCTCAGTTTGATGGTGATTATCTTCTGCTACTTCCGTTCTTTAATATTTTACTAACAACGACACAGCATTTTATTTGTGGAGCAAATAAAATGCTTATTGCATTTTATTTGTGGAGCATATTTCAGCTACAAGACAATTCAAAGAGATTTAAATAACATAAAAAGGAGTGGCGTTATAAAGGAAAGCAAAGAAGATTTGTAATACAGCCTAAAATGAAGTATGAGCTTTAAATTAATCAGTCGAAAACAACTGAAAACAAATAAGTTTTTAGCCCAAGTTTAATGAAGCTTAGGGTTTCAGTAGTTTTGCATTTTTGTATGTTTGTTCCAAATTAGAGGAACATAAAATATTAATGCTGCTTCTCCATGTTTGGTTCTGGGGATGCAGAGCCAGAACCAGAAGACCTGAGAGGTCTGGAAGGTTGATGCAACAGTAGCATCAGATCTCTACTGTATTTTAGTGCTAAACTATTTTTTGTTTTATAGACTAGCAAACGTATTTTAAAGTCTATTCTCTGAGCTGCAGGGAGCCAGTATAGGGACTGGTTGATGTGCTCCAACTTCCTGGTTTTAGTCAGAACACCAGCAGCAGCGTTCTGGATCAGCTGCAGCTGTCTGACATTATATCTGTGAAGACGCTGTGGTAGTAATTAATGCAACTAAAAACAAAAGCATGGATGAGTTTCTCTAGACCTCTTTGGGATACAAGTCTTTAAATATCAGAAATGTTCTTCAGGCTGGCTTTGTAATTGTCTTCATGCTTCTCTCAAAGTTCAGGTCCATCACTACACCCACATTTCAGACCTTAAAGTTGCAGGTCGACTCTTGGGCGTTCCTCTTTAGATCCAAATATAATTACTTCTGTTTTGTTTCTGCTTAGGTGAGAAAAGTTATTCCATATCCACACTTTGATTTGTTCTATGAATGTGCCCAGCGCTTCAATGATTTATAAGTCATGATATAGAGCTGTGTATCATCTGCAAAGTTAATATTAGCACTGGCACTGCTTGAGTGCACTATGGTTCATTATGGCATGAAGAGAGTGA